TATGGTCATATATCAGTTACATAAATAACAACTGTTATGTTTAAACTGAATGTTTTCTGAGAGATTTTTTACTTGTTTTTCTCAAGTATAATCAGTTTTCTGTCAGGACACAAAAATCTCTTTAAATAAATCAGAAATGTGATCACTCACAAAAAAAGAGTATGTAGCTAGTGTTATCACTAGGCTTGAGTAAAAAAAAATGTGTAGCCATTATTATTATTATTCATTAAGCATTTTTAGATGATTAAACTTGTTAGCAACACAGATACATGTATCTGTGTCCTCCCCATGTCATTAACGGTACATGTATCTGTGTCCTCCCCATGTCATTAACGGTACATGTATCTGTGTCCTCCCCATGTCATTAACGGTACATGTATCTGTGTCCTCCCCATGTCATTAACGGTACATGTATCTGTGTCCTCCCCATGTCATTAACGGTAGTGGTATAGCTACACAGCTGCCAAACGTTGAGCTTCTAGGAAATGGGAGTATTCAGAATGGGTTATTATGTAATGTGCTATACCACTTTATTAGTATACATTTATGGTGTTCATAGTGCTTGCTTTAAAGATGTTAAAACATCATTGAAGTTATTATACTACCTAATCTTGTATACATCTGTGTTTCTAAGATTCTATAAAAAAAAATAAAATCATGCAGGATTTTTTGCCTTTTTCTGGATACAACTAAAAACCCTATTAGTCCCACCACTAGCAACAACACATTGCTTGGATGGGTTAACCCTTTCGAGACGGGTCATGGGTGAAAGGCCATGTCATCTCTCGTTTGTTGACTCCCATTCAAAATTTTATTGAACTACTATTTCATGAATTTATGTCAGTAAGTTTGGTATCAAACTGTAGATTATAATTCGAATTTTAGAACTATACATTACTCAATTTGTTAATTTAAAAGTAAATATTAAAAACACAGATAAACATTGATTTTTGTGTCACAAGGAATGTTGAATACAGCACTGGTTCAAATTAGATGTTTGTGAAGTCAGAATACTAAGTCTTTAGTTTCGTACAAATTAAAAACTCAAATTACCAATATTGACAAGCTAGAATAAAAAATAAGAAGGTTTGTTTTTTCTATTTGCTAAGACATTGCTCATGTAATAAACCAAACACAGTGGCACCCTGCCCACCTCTTTTCATTTTTGGAAATACTCTTTTATATACATTTGCTTCTCTATATGACATGAATAACCAGTCTGAAGCTCAGAATGTCCCCTAGTAGTTTTTTCAGCCTTTCTAATGTGGCTAGCACCATTTCTTTCTTTTGAACCAAGATTTCAATGAGGTAGGTTGGATTTTTAATCTGCTCAAAATTTCGTTTTTTTTAAGGGTAAAATGCATCTTAGTAACTAAGCTTGATAAATTATAGTGGAATTCTATGGTATTAATGTAGTAATGTATAATTTTTTTTAGTTATTCAAATGTATATAAACCTAAAAAAATATTTTGTTTCATATCCTCCACATGCAAAATTTTTTAAAGGCTTAGCAAACTATGTCAAGCAGCAACTAAGTATAAAGGTCATAACTAGAAGAAATAATTGAATAGATACACGACTGTCTTTATTTTTATAGAATATGGAGAATACTTAGTGATGAACGTAGATACACGAATGTCTTTATTTTTATAGAATATGGAGAATACTTGGTGATGAACGTAGATACACAAATGTCTTTATTTTTATAGAATATGGAGAATACTTAGTGATGAACGTAGATACACGAATGTCTTTATTTTTGTAGAATATGGAGAATACTTAGTGATGAACGTAGATACACGAATGTCTTTATTTTTATAGAATATGGAGAATACTTA